TCTTGTCTCCTCTCATCATTTTAGTACTGCCTTTATTTCCGTTCCATTGTCTAAAAGTCTCTCTCACTTTCAGTCTTCACAATTTTCCATAGAGAACAAATTGCCACTGAACAAAGGAAAAACAAAAGCTTTAACTAATCTTCTTTCATTAGATTTTTGAAGCACAGTTTACAGGCATATTTACTTTTGCGTCCTCACAGATACCTTGAAAGAAGAACTTTGACATTTTCATGCTTTGTAGCCTTTAAACAAATATAGTCACAAAATTAATGTGACATAGTTTATAGTTTACCCATAAATCTGAAATGGCTTTAGAAGTGGTGATTTGGCTGTGATACCCTAAGAACATGAATGGCACTAATTAAATGCAAGTCATAGAGTCATACAGCACGGAAACAGACCCTTCAGCTCAACTCCTTCAAGGTCAGTAAATTAAAGCCCTTTCTGATATCTCCATATTTAAATCTGTTTAATTTAGACGACCACTTCATATTCTACTCATCCACCAGCTGATGTTGGTGATCTGAACCTGGAATCTGGATCTTTTAAATTTGACTTCAAAGACACAGATATGAAGCGACTGTCTATGGAGATAGAACGAGAACGGTATGTTGAGGTATTTGCTTCTTCCATTGTTGCCACTCAAGGTTGGGAAAGTTACCAAACACAGTGAAGGTGTGTTATCTCCTGGCTATCACAGATAACGATACAACCAAGTTAATGACATTTGCTTCCAGATATTGGTACCACACTTTCTACCCACCACCCAATGGAACACACTGCAATATTATCAAATTCTGATACCTTCTACCATAAAGCTATACTGCTTTAAGACCTTGTGCCAACACAGCTTGACCAATGCCTTCTATTATCAAAATAGTCAAGGCAACTGGTTTATTAGAAATATGTAACTTGTTATCAGATGGACTAATTCTGGTAAAGAGCATTGGTATATTTAAGAGTGAGCTATATATATATATAATAGGGAAAAGAATAGAAAGATATGCTTTTCTAGCATTCAATGCAGTAGAGTAGAAGCATAATCATCAGCATAGATCTGTTGGACTAACTGGTCTATTTCTGTGCTATAACTTGAATGTAATATATTCAATGATTACACAAAGAAACGAAAAAAGTAATGCAGTTTTGTGCCCAAAACATTCTGTTAGAGGGTGCATTATATTTAAAGAAATTATTTGAATGCTATTCAGTCATTGTAATCCATCATAGGCATATTATAACGTTTCTTCTAAAATCATATGACAGAGAGCACGAGAGAATGGGAGAAGACTGGGAGAGACAGCATGTAGTAAAGTAAATGTGTGGCACACAACAAAGACAGAAACAAATATTGTAATGTTCAACAACTTGCTCCTGAACATCAGTGCTTAGTGTTGGTATGTCAGATTTACTGTAAGTAAAGACAAGACTTTCCTTAGACCCAGCCTCTAGTGGCATCCCTGAGTTGCTTTCTCCACGTCATAATCAGATCCTGATCCTCCTGGTGATTTTGTCGACAGGAGGTAGTTTTAGATTGCTCGAAGCTGACACTGCAGTTTTATTCATTCTATTGATATACAGTTAACAAATAGTGCAAAATGGAATAATCCCTGAGTATGTAAAAGCCAGTTCTTGGATGGTGATTAAGAACTCAGTGAGAGAGCTCCTTTTTTGAGTTTAGGGCAAAGTCTGACATAATGGGCCAAATTCAACTTCATCACACACCTCCTTAAATGTTGCCAGATTGACAAATTCACTGATTTATTTCACTTCTCAAACTTATTTCTACTTGGAGGAATGTTCTAGATTTCAGGTATGTGGTAGGCATATAGTAATTTTGGTAAATCTTGAATTTTTGTGTTGGCATTGAAAGAAATAAAATGATGCTGCAACTTCACAGCATTATGGTATCATAGAATCATAGAATCCCTACAGTGTGGGAACAGGCCCTTCGGCCCAACAAGTCCACACTGACCCTCAGAGCATCCCACCCAGACCCATCTGCCTAATCTACACATCCCTGAACACTATGGTCAATTTAGCATGGCCAATCTATCTAGCCTGCACATCTTTGGACTGTGGGAGGAAACCAGATCACCTCCAGGAAACCCACGCAGACACGAGGAGAATGTGCAGACTTCACACAGACAGTCGCCAGAGGGTGTAATCGAACCCGGTTCCCTGGCAATTAAAATGAATGATTTGTAGCAATGAGTTTAAGTCTGTAATTTTAGTGTTCAGCTTTAACCATATGCCTTGCTTTAAGTATTTCTGTTGTTGTTTATATGTGTTGATGGGGTTACTAATACAAAAGAAATAACTCTGGATGCTGCAGATCTGAAACAAACAAAAACAGAAATTACTGGGGAAACTCAGCAGGTCTGGCAGCATCAGTGGAGAGACAACAGAGTTAATGTTTCAAGACCAGTGACCCTTCTAGAGAACTAGAAACAGCTAGAAAAAATGGTATTTATGCTGGTTTGGGAGGGAGGCTGTGGAGGAGGAGAGAAGGAGTGAATGGATAGGTGGAGATGGAGCCAGGGTAGGGGTGGTGCGGGATTTGATTGGTGGAGGGAGGAGGGAGGAGAGAGGAGAGAGAGAGAGAAAAGGGGAGGTAGACAAAGGGATTGTTGATAGTAACAAAACAGGAATTGCTGGTGAAACTCAACAGCTCTGGCAGCATCTGTGGGAAGAAAGCAGAGTTCATAAAACTGGAATCAATGGATATCGGGACAAGCTGTCAGTTGGTTGGAGTCAAAAGTGGCAGTTGGCCGTAGTTATTGGAGATTAGTCATCTCAGTCCAGATGTTCTTCAGGGTACTGTCCTAGGCCCAACCATCTTCAGCTGCTTCATCAATGACCTCCATGATAGGGTCAGAAGTGGAGATGTTCACTGATGAGTGCACAATGTTCAGCACCATTCGCAACTCCTCACATACTGAAGTCTATGTTCAACTCCAATAAGATCTGGGCAATATCCAAACTTGGGCTGACAAGTGGCAAGTAACATTCGCACCACACAAATGGCAGGCTATGACCAATTTCCAATAAGTGACGATGTAACCACTGCCCTTGACATTCAGTGGTGTTACCATAACTGAATCCCTCACTATCAAAATCCTTAGGGTTACCATTGACCAGAAACTCAACTGGACTTGCCACATAACCACAATGGCTATAAGAGCAGGCCAGAGGCTAGGAATGCTGCAGCAAAGAACTTGCCTCCTGACTCACCAAAAAAGCCTGTCCACCATTGACAAGGCACAATTCGGGAGTGTGATGGAATACTCCCCACTTGCTTGGATGAGTGCAGCCCAAGCAATACTGAAGAAGCTTGACATCCATCCGTGACAAAGCAGGCCACTTGATTGGTGCCACATCCACAAGCATCCATTCCCTCCACCACTGACGCTCAGTAGCAGCAGTGTGTACTATCCACAAGATACAATGCAGAAATAGACCAAAGATCCTCAGACAGCACCTTCCAAGCCCACGACCACTTTTATCTACAAAGACAAGGGCAGCATATACATGGGAACACCATCTGCAAGTTCCCCTCCAAGCTACTCATCCTGACTTGGAAATATATCGCTGTTCATTCACTGTTACTGGGTCAAAATCCTGGAATTCCCTCCTTAAGGGCATTGTGGCTCAATCCACAGTAGGTGAACTGCAGCATAGCAAGAAGGCAGCTCATCACTACCTTCTCAAGGGCAATTAGGGACAAGCAATTTATGTTGGCCGGCCAGCCAGCAATGCTCACGTCCCACAAATGAATAGAAAAAGGAGAATTACCGTTTCGAGTCCAGTGACTCTTCAGAATCGTTCTGATGAAGAGTCACAGGGTTTGAAATGTTAACTTTGCTTTCTTCCCACAGATACTGCCAGGCCTACTGAGTCTTACCAGCAATTTCTGTTTTTGTTTCAGACCTTTAGCATCCACAGTTCTTTGTTTTATGTTGTTGATAGTAAGCCAGAGAAGAAGAGAAGCTAGACTGATGGTAATCAGGACTATCAATAATTGAAAACAGGTTGTGGCTACTAAATTGCATTTCTTTTCGAGACAACAGGGATTTTTTTCTCATCATACCAGGCTGTCTTTTGAGATAAAATTACCTTTTTAATGTCCTTAACTCACATTGTTTGTGGATTCCTCAGTGTGGAGTACATGGAGAAAAGCAAACACTTGCAAGAACAGCTGAAGGAGCTAAAGACTGAGATTGAAGCTCTGAAATTGGAAGAACGACATGCTAACATGGGCATCTCTACCAACGAAACAATGAAATTTGATGAAAATACTTACTCACCACTCAGTAATGTGAGTTTTCTTTCATGAGTATGTTAATTTTTGTGTGGGTTTTACATGCGTATAGCATCTACATTCAGCTTGATGGGGGTCAGGAGGATCTAGGCATAGTGCAGCCAAATACAGGGGAAGAACAACTATAGGCAGTTGGTGCCATGGGTAGGAAATAGTTAGTATCTTATTGTAAAGGGAAAATGAAAGCAAGTAAAGGGTAACCTGCGTGGGGTAGATTTAGTTCTCTGATGTATACGTGGGTCAGAGTTGAACCATTATTTAGCTGCTAATTTGGCTCAGCATGAAGTGTGTATTTGGCGTAGGTGGGTGGGAGAGGTGATGACTGTTGATTTCAGACCCAAACACTTTGTACTCAACTGATCATGTGATGTTATTCTTGCAGCACCACCTTCAGCTGCATATCCTTTCTAATTATGAAACAGATATTATGTGCTGACTTAGATCGTTAGTAATCCCACTAAAGATTCTTGTGTACGTTATGAACTTGCATATTCACCTTGGAATTTGAGTACCCTTTAACTAACCCTAGCTAGACCATGTGAGGTTTGTTCATATACACGAACATAGATATAAGTGTGGTGTATACACACTCATGCACACACACCTTTTTTTAGTTTGTGCTATTCATATATTTGTAGCTGCATCTGCCACTTTGATTAATCTATTATTCTAACCTTCTGTATTCTTCATAGCAGTTCACCAGTATAACTTGGTAGTATCAGTAATGTCTGAATTGCATCCCTTTATGTCAAGTAAATATGTACACAAAGGAATTATTAATTAGTGTGCATGTCCTGTCTGTTCTGTGCTCCAATTCTCTCTGAACTGGAGCACCTAACATTCTTAGTATTCAGTTTAATCATGCATCAATTAATTCAAGTTAATTATTTCAGCTGGTTTTGTAACTTGTGCACTTTTTTGCATTGTGCTCTTATGCTTTGTTTACAGCATTCCAATCAGAAAAATAGTCTTTAAGCACTACTGCACTTGTTTTCTGTTTTCTATCCCAAAAGCAATTTCTGCAAATGCTGCAACACTCCTACCACATACCTGAATTTTATCAATGAGCATCCTATATGGCCCTTATCAAGCACCTTTTGAAAATCTTTTGCACAAAACATTCACTGCATTTTCTTTACTGCATTTATCTCATTGCATCCTCATATTTCTGAAGATGTTTGAAAATTGTAGTTATACACTGTGCTTTTTGACAACGTGCTAGAATACATGAATATGAATTCCACCATTTTTTCACCATTATTTCCTTATTTATGGTTATACTATTTAATACTCTGAATCTTTCTCTTATACCCTTTTCATTTTTACTTCTGTATTTTTGTTTTAGGCAAAATGAGCATTGTGATGTTTTTATCTTTCAAATAATTGGTTGGGTTGAAATTTGATTATTATATCTAGTTTTCAGTCCAGCGTTCCTTTAGACTAGCCATTTGATCTGAACTCTTGGCAGATTACTTTAAACCTTAGGATCGAACATACCATGTGAGGTTTCTGCCAAGTGGAATTACATGATAATTGAACTGGTTGGCAAATGATGTTATGTGTCTGTGTAATGAATTTGATAATTCTTTGATTTAAAAATGTCAAAATAGAATAGCACTGAATTATTTGATAAAGTAAAACTGGTAAAGATAAGGTTAAAGATTTCATCATTTTGATTCTTCGAGGAAAAGAAGTTTAATTTTTAATTTTTTATTATTTTTTATATAAAAAATCTTTAATTGCTCAGAGACATACTTCCTGTATGTAGCTGTCTTCTTGGTCTGCTTCATTGCCCAGGAAGCCAAAGCATGTCATCATGGTGTTTTGCCTGTTCTTGCTTTCTGTATAGCTCACTGCTTTCTATTGAACAGAGGCAGAGCCATAAAAATTGAAGTAAATCCACAAAGGCCAGTACCCTGTCACCAAATCATCCTTTATTTACATGTGAAGAGTCCTTGACACTGATCCGGCTTCCTCGGGGCCAGCTCTCAGTGTGAACAGAAGGTCTGTCACTCCCGTTCTTATCAGGGAGCCCTGGCTGACAGATTGTACAAGGTTAACAGCCCCAATCAGGGAACTCATATTCTATGATGTCCACCTGGTTAACCTTGTTACAATCACTACAAAAACGACTGCTACAAACTAAACACAACTGTTTCAAGATGTTAGACTTTGGACATAGCTTTGTATTGCGATTGACTTTTTTGGAGCCCCTATCAACCTGAGCTAAAGTGAAACAGAATGAAATGAATTGCCTTGTTCCTAAAAATGCTAAAAGAAAATTGATTTATTGCCTGTAGTATATGACCAAATTACATAGTAAATGCATGAAAGAGATAATGTACATTACTGAAATTCCTAGTAAAAATATAAATGTAGAGTTTTTATTTAATGGTAGCACAAGGGCAACATAGTTTTGTACCAAAGCTGGCAGCGGGTTTAGGTTTACTAAAAGAGAAGTGCCAATCCCAAGTATTGCTTTAAAGTTGCCAAATATAGTGCAAAATGTACAGGACACAAAATACATTTTTCTTTTGAGGGTTCTTCGTGAGGGCTGCTTTTTACTTTTCAGGGCTACTTCTACAATTTCATTAAATTCTTTATTAGGCGATATAGTCTAGTAGTAACAATACTTTCTGTACTTGTGTTGACAAATGGCGTCAACAAACAAAACTAGAAGCAGAATTGGAAGAATCATCAATGTCCTTAAGTAAAGCCATGACATTTAAGGAAAGTGTTAATTTCTGAGATATCATAGTACTTCCATTGGCACAAAACAAAAGCCATAACTTAAAGCAAAAAAAAAAGTTTTCAAAATAACTGACACTTCTGCACACACAAAACCATCTCCCTAAACATAACTCCATGACTGTCTACCAGATTGATGAAATCATAGCTAATGCCTTTCCATGTCATTTTCACAAAGCTGGAGTATTTTAACGAGGTAGTTACTATTTTTTTCTACTGCATTGTTCATTTGTTAATAGGTTTAAAGTTATTGCCTCTTCTTTCCAACTTCCATCTCTATTTTCCCCTCACCCTATAGCCCCATCCTCACTTCTACCCACTTTGCATTTTCCCTGTCTTCACAACCCTTGTGCAGTCTCCCAATCTATAGCCCACCCCCACCCAATTTCCTAACCTCCTTTGCCTCTTTGTCCCTGAGACCTGGCATGCAGTTGCCTCGCCAAAAAAGAGGCAGCTCCTGCTCCCAGCTGTGGCAGACTGGCTTTCAACTCTTGTATCTTGGCCACCCTGCTTCTGGCACCCTACCTCCTGTGACTTGGTTACCTGGCCTCTAGCAGCCAGTCCTATGGAAGACTCGTAAATCATCTTGGCAATATGGCCTGTATCATCTGCTTGATCTCACAGAAAATGATATAGTGATTAAAACCTGCATTTCTGAGGTGGAAAATTGAAGCCAACTCCTAATGCAAGTGCAGCATTTCTTAGCAGAAAAAGGGAGTCAACTTTTGGCCAGTGTAGGCCTAAATATGTTTTTTTTAAGCTTTAACAATGGTGTCATCTTGTTTCACAAAAGATCTAATCATTCCAGCTCCTTTAAAAAGAATTGCACACTTGTATCACTGAGCTGGCAGGGAGGCCACTTACTTCAGGCTTGCTGTCTTCTTCTTTGAAGTTGGTTTTTTTACAGCAGCATTGCTGTAGGCCTGGAGCTTGTTAGAGCAGCCTCAGTTGTCATAATCTCTCCCCGTGGGTAAACCGTAATTTATTCGATGGCTGTAGAGTTTTGTGGGATAATGTGTGAAGCCTCACTCTTGCCATTTTAATTTTTGCAGTGAGGATAAGGAGAGTGCTTGTACTTTCAATCATTTTTTAAAAAAATAAGAAATCTGAAAACAGAAGTTGGAACTGTTGTGGCACTTTGCCAATATCGGCAGTTTGAAAAATGCCTGCTGACTTATCAGCTTACTGATTTTCACCAGTATTAGTATAGCTCATTTGCATTAAAATAAATATATAAATGATGCATGTCTTTACTAATTGGATGTGTGCTCAAGCTCATAAAGCAAGGTTATTATAAGCCTTCATCCTCCACAAAAATTGCATTCAATAACCAAAAAAAAAATTCTGGCATGAGCACTAAGTGAATAATGAAAATCTCAGACACCATATAGACTGTATTATTGTAATAGGTGTGTTATATTTCCAGAAACTACAAAAAAGAATGAAAACAGTATTTTATACAAAGCTGTAAAAATGTACCAATCCCATTGAATTAGCACAGTAGTGTGAAGGCAGTGAGGGTTATAGTTATTCAATTATTTTGATTACTATAATACTGTATTTGAAAATGTGTGTTTCTTTGAGAAACAGAAAAGACTGTACAATGTTTTGGGAAATGAATGCGGTGTTTATGGTATTCTACATAAATACTAATACACGTAACAAACATACTATTTCTTAAATTGGTTTGCTCTGCATCTATTGTTAACTTCAGAATTGGAGACATCCAATACTGTAAGGCAAACAAGGGATACCTTGGATAAATCCTAAATTTAACACTGGTGTCTTAAATCTTCACTTTGCAACTTTGCCAGGATTTGAGAAGATGCTTAGCCACTTCAAACTCTTTGCTAAGGTGCAAAATATTCTGTCATTGTATCTAGTTGGTTTGCTTGATAGAGAAATTACAAGATCTGGGAATATGGTGATAAATTTGGTAGAAATTAGCTTGTAAGGATTGCTGAATTCTGTTGAATGTTCCATTTTCTAAAATGTCTTTAACTTTTTTCAAACTGTAGCGTACAAAATTATTGATATGTTCTAGTATGGTAGTATAATAATACTGATTTAGGATAAAACTGGTACCCTAATTTATGCCACTCACCCAAAGTCCTACGTGACTTTTGACATATACTGGCGTCACCGAATTACAAATGCTCTTTTTTTACAAACGCGATTGCACACAGGGGTGTAATTTTATAGACACAACATACAAACATTTCTTGTACTTACGAATAGCTGCTTTACATTGTCCTGCATTGTGTTCTGACATGTGTGCAAATTGACTTGCAAACGCACTCCAGAATGGAGTTTGCAACCCGGGCATTGTCTGTATACATAAAGCATTTAAATTATAGTATACAATAGATTCATAACTTCTCAATATTAAAAATCTCATCCTTGTATTCAGATCTCTCCATCATCTCATCCCTTGTTAGCTGTGTAACTTACTCTAGGTCTGCAACCCCAAATCTATGCACTTTTCCAGTTAGGATCAGTGTACGTGCCTCATTTCCTTTCTTCAGCTGTTAGCAGCTGTGCCTTTAGCAGATTAGGCCCAAAGCTTTGGAATTCCCTCCCTAAACTTGCCTGTCTTTTACTCCTTTAAGTCACTTCTTAAAACCTACGTCTTTGACCATGCTTTTGGTCTTTTGTTCTATTATCTCTTGGTGTAGCTCAATGTTGTCTGATAATGTTCTCAGAATAATTCTCAGAACGTTATCTTGCAATTTTTTTACTAACTTAAATGCTTCACTCCACTAGCAAGGTCTGGATTTCAAGTAATAATTGAGCTGGAGTAAATGAGAGGTACGGCTGCCATCCCAAATTAATTTGGATTCAGTTTGAATGTACTTTGTGTGTTTAAAAACTTTGTACCAAGGAGTTTACACCACATTAACTCATACTGCAGAGGCATTAATTTTTTTCTCATAAATGCAGGTTGCCTTTCTCCCTTCACTGCCTCTTTTCATAAAATAAAAGAATTGTTCTGTGCATATTAAATTGATGTGAAAGTCATTGACCATGGTTAATAATTTGTGAAGAATGTCAGGGACTATATTTCAAGTTACAAAACTACATCAGCATATGAATTACAAGCTTAAAACGTCCAGGAAATTAAGGGTGATTAATGATACATGTTGCAGTTATCATATAACAAAGTAAAGATAATTTTGGAACTGTGGAGATGCCAATCAACTCTGATGTTCATCTGGTGCAAACAACTGAAGAGAAACCCAAAGTCTAATGTGCTTTTATTCCCTAATAGGCTAAATAGACAACATGTTTTTCCAGGATTATCTGCGTTCAGACTCCTTGAAACATGCCCGAGAATTGTAAAACATTGAGAAGACTGACTCAGTTTTTATTCTGATTATATACATAATATATAATACTGTGACCAAGAGATTGCTGATATTAAGAATTTCATGAGGATTCATTTGGGTTGAGTCTCATAAGTGTGTTGTTCTAATCTCTTTATGGAAGTCAAAAGCAAGACTTTGTCAACTCCTGCTGTGCTTTCGTGTATTGACTTCAATAGTCCTAACACCTTGCTAAGTTTATGATAACCTGTCAGCTGGTTCTAGTTATTTTTAATTAAGCCAAAACATGTTAGCCCATTAGGTCATCTTGTAAATCGTAATTTTCTTTTGTGAGTTTGTACAATGTTTCTGTTCTTTGTCCATTGTTACTTTCACTGTTTGTACCTCACTATCTTAGGTTTTGTTGATTCCTTCTGTATTAGCCTTTGTATTCAGTTCATCTCCTGGCTGTATGCCTTGACACTGATAGCTTGTAATGTGTTCATTGAAGCTTCAGAATAAATGTTAGGTATCATTTCCCATAATGTGGGCTGTGTAAAACAGAGCGGTTGCCTATTCAATCGTGTTTGTTTCTTTTCCTTAAAGAGGATCCTGCAAAGTTTCACGAGGACCCAGAAACTTCATTGTTTGTCCTAGAGTTTCTGACAGGATCTATTCAAATTTTCGTGCTGCATCCATTGGCCATTTGTTTGCTGAGATATGGTTTTTGAATTTGGCTAAATGGGATTTGTTGGTAGCCCTTTAACACCCTTTGACATCTGCTTTTTCTAGAGGAGTTAGGACTGGATCAGAAACTGTATGCACAGGTATGATTTTTCAAAATTACAGATTTTTGCCCTGCAAAGGGGCCTTTTAAAAAGGATGCAGAAGGAAATGTGTAGCAGTGGCCAGTGTCAGAGGGCAATAATGCAATATGAGCCAGTGTCCACTAGGAATTAATCACAGCAGTAATCAAAAGGAGATCTCACTGTTTACCAGGATTGATGGCTTATGGACTAAACTCCCTAAAACAAATTTTCACTTACAATCACAAAGAAAACAGCTCATACATGAAATACTTGTAAAAGAATCATCAAGAAGCTAAAAAAATGTGACTGCTTTTCACTGGGCTGTCAATTTCTTTGATTGCTTCTTTATCTAAGACTGATAGTTGTGTTAAAAGGTCATATTTGGAAGTAGAGATAACAAGGTGTAGAGCTGGATGAACACAGCAGGCCAAGCAGCATCAGAGGAGCAGGAAAGCTGACGTTTCGGGTCTAGACCCTTCTTCAGAAATGGGGGAGGGGAAGGGGAATCCGAAATAAATACGGAGAGAGGGGGAGGCGGATAGAGGATGGATAAAGGAGGAGATAGGTGGAGAGGAGGCAGACAGGTCAAAGAGGTGGGGTGGAGCCAGTAAAGGAGAGTGTAGGTGGGGAGTTAGGGGGGAATAGGTTAGTCCAGGGAGGACGGACAGGTCAAGGGGGCAGGATGAGGCTGGTAGGTAGGAGATGGGTGTGGGGCTTGAGGTGGGAGGAGGGTATAGGTGGGAGGAAGGACAGGTTAGGGAGGCGGGGACAAGCTGGGCTGGTTTTGGGATGCGGTAGGGGGAGGGGAGATTTTGAAGCTTGTGAAGTCCACATTGATACCATTGGGCTGCAGGGTTCCCAAGTGAAATACGAATTGCTGTTCCTGCAACGTTTGGGTGACATCGTTGTGGCACTGCAGGAGGCCCAGAAAGGACGTGTCATCTAAGGAGTGGGAGGGGGAGTTGAAATGATTCGCGACTGGGAGGTGCAGTTGTTTGTTGCGAACCGAGCGTAGGTGTTCTGCAAAGCGGTCCCCAAGCCTCCGCTTGGGTTTCCCCGATGTAGAGGAGGCCACTTCAGTAATAGCGGATACAGTATACCACATTAGCAGATGTGCAGGTGGACATCTGTTTGATGTGGAAGTAGTACATGTTGCAGTGCTACCTTTGGTAGAAAGGGGAAAGTACAATTTAACAAGAATGTGCATTTACATCCATAGAATCCGTACAGTGTGGAAGCAGGCCTTTTATCCCATCGAGTCCACACCAACGCTCTGAAGAGACCCCTTATCCTATCCCTGTAACCCTGCATTTCCCATGGCTAACCAACCTGGCCTGCACACCTCTGGATACAATGGGCAATTTAACATGGTCAGTCCATCTAATCTGCTCATCTTTGGACTGTGGGAGGAAACCTACGCAGACACAAAGAAAATGCTAAAACTCCACACAGATGGGTCACCCAGGGCTGGAATTGAACCTGGGTCTCTGGTGCTGTGAGGCAGCAGTGCTAACCACTGAGCCACTGTGACACCCCATGGTATGTGGTATCTTTAATTTAGTGAATATCCTAGAGTGCTTCACAGGATCAAAAAATTCAACACTGGTTCATGTATAGACAAATAGTCAAAGAAACAGATTTTAAGGGGTGTCCTAATAGTGAAAAGAGAGTTGGAGAGTTTGTGGGAGATATTGCAGGGTTCACATCCCTGGCAACTAAACATAGCCATCAACAGGAAGAAACAGTTAAAGTTGGGGATGATTAAGAATTGCAGGAGGCACATACCTCTGGTTGCAGGGATTATATGGTTTAGTCATTTATGGAGTGGCAGCGCCATGGAGGGATTTAAAATAAGATGAGTTTTTTAAATCAAGACATTGATCAACCAGGAGTTAGTGTAAATCAGTGGCACAGGAGTGATGAAGTTAGGATGCAGGCAACAAAGTTTGGAATGAGTTTAAGTTTCTCAAGGATGAGATGAGTGCATTGGAACAGTGTTTGGAAGTATCAAAGATTCTGAGGAGAGTTTCAGGGGTAAATGATGCAGCATATGGGTAGAGTGGAGAGATGTGTACCACTTGTGCTTGTATCAGAACAGCCCAAATGAAAACCTGCTTAAGGGTTTCAAGTGGCCTGTGAGATTTCATAGATGGGTGCAGATGCCCCCTGTTGAAAGCATATTCTTATAGTATGAAACAAAAATTGCTGGAAAATCTCAGTAGGTCTGGCAGCAATTTATAGAAATTCATTCATAGAATCCCTACAGTGTAGAAACAGGCCATTCAGACCAACAAGTCTACACCGACCCTTCAAAGAGCATCACATACAGACCCCTTCCCCTACCCCATATTTCCCATGGCTAACACATCTAACCTACACCTCCCTGGACAGTACAGGGCAATTTAGCATGGCCAGTCCACCTAGCCTGAACATCTTTGGACTTTGGGAGGAAACCAGAGCACCTGGAGGAAACTCACACAGATACGGGGAGAATGTGCAAACTCCACACAGACAGTCGCCGACAGTGGGATTGAACCTGGGTACTGTGAGGCAGCAGTGCTAACCACTGTGCCACCGTGCCGCACCTTGTGGAAAGAAGTCAGAATTTTGAAGAAGGGTCACTGGACCTGAAACATTAACTCTGATTCTCTCCACAGATAATGCTAGACCTGCTGAGATTTTCCCAGCAGTTTCTGCTTTTGTTTCACATTTCCAGCATCCTTAGTTCTTTCGTTTTTTTTCTTATTGTATGCTTTTGTTTTAGGGTGGTTTGTAAATTAGGGGTGTTAGTTTAATGGCACTGTTTCCATTTACATTTTACTGGTTATTCTGCACAAGCTGCTGCTGACCACTACCTCCCACTCTAACCTCCAGCTGACCATTCACCCAGCAAACAGCGCCCAGACCTCCTCCTCACCACCACCTCCCACCCTAACCTCCAGCTGATCATTAACCCAGCAAACAGGACCCAGACCTCCTGCTCACCACCATCTCCTGCTGGCCATTCACTCAGCAGACAGCACTGAGATGTCCTGCTCACCACCCCCTCGAATCTCACCTCATCCCCCTCAATGCCTTTGCCACCTCAACCCTCACCTCATTTCCACCTCTCTGCCCTTGGCCCTCACCTCCCTCCCCTCCCTCCCCCTCAATCTTCACCTTATACCACTTTGACCCTCACCTTATCCCCCTTGACCTTCGCGTCATCGCCTTCAACCCTCACCAACTCCACCTCATGCACCAGCTCTCCTCCTTCACCTCAACCCTCATGCTCACTGCCTCCCTGTCCAGGGCACTTACCCTCATGAGGTTTCAGGAGTGAGGGTGGGAAAGGGAAGGCAGGAGTGAAAAATCAAAGTGACGATGGAAGGTTAGTTAAGGAAGTGGCAATGGGACATCAGCAAGCTGGAAGAAGTTAACTGGAGGTAGGATGTGTCGATCAGAACATAAATATTATGAGTGTTTTAAGTTATTAACATTTGGACTTGCCAGTACACAGATTGATGTGCGTATATCTGCCCTTATAAATGAGAACAATTTGTGTATAGTGTTTGCACTAAGGTTAGTATGTAGTATTTGTATATTCTGTTTCATTTTCCAAATATTATTCAGACCTGTTGTTTCAAATTCTTATTTGTGCTTGTGCTTAGTACATCTTGTGACTATGTACAAGAATCTTGTTTCATTGGAGTGGAGAAAATCTTTCAATACTGCTACCCACAGGTATATACCTAAGGTACAATGTGGCCCCCTTATGGCTATAAGTTGGATAGCTTGTGTTAAATACATTTGTGAGCTTGAAGGTTTTTATGTTCTAGTTTGGTTCAGTAGTAATATTCGTGGCACTGAAAGTATATGTTTAAGGCTGAGATTGACAGATTTTTGTTCTCTCAGGAAATTGAGGGATATGGGGAGCAGGCAGACAAGTGGAGTTGAAGCCCAAGATCAAACCTGATCAGAATGAAAAGGCTTAAGAGTCAAATTGTCTACTCCTGTAAAATCAGGAGTAGAC